GCGGGGTCCTGCCTCCGGTCCGAGCTTCATTGTGGAGAGCCTAGGAGCCTCTGAAGGCGTCAGTGAGATCATATAACACACCTGACTTGCACCCCCCAACCCCCCACCTCCGTCCTAGCTTCTCCTTCCCTGCCCGCTGTGTTTATTCTACTGGAGTAGCAAGCCTGACCTTGCACAGGATTGTCACCTGGAGTTTACCCTGAATGTATCTGTAGAACAGGCTTCCTTGTCTAAACTGCACTAATTGGTTGGTTTGAAATCCAAACAAAGGTAGCCCCCTCAGTAGCTTCCTCCACCTCTCAGAACTGCAAATATAGTTAATAATGGAAATCTCAAAATAGAGGCAGGGAAACCCAACTGAAAGGATTGTTTGGATCAAACAGGGCATTTATAGCGCTTGCCCAGGGCTCAGAGCACGTGGTGTGGGTGCTGAGTTACCGCTGCCGCCCCCTCTCCTTTTCCAGTTCTTCATCTTGACTGTGCACCTCTGTCCACAATGTGGGCTTTCTCTCTCATGGGGTGGTTGTAGTAGCCTCCTCACTGGTGTTCCTTGTTCTAGTTTCGCTCATCTGGTCTGCACCTCTTATCTCCTTATCCTGCTACAAATGAATTCTAGATTATAAAATTTGTGAATAAATTATATAAAGAAAGAACTAGAAAGTCCTTTTGCTAATATGATGGCCTAAGAATTCCAAAACCCGTACATTATAAAACATCTAAAAGTGATTAAAATATTTTTAAACACCTTTTAAACCAGTAGATGAGCCAGTAATAGCGAGGCAGAAAGTGAATACAAATTTAGCAGGTGACTACCCCTGGGGCGGTTGAGCTGGATCTGGGTGCCCCAAGAGAACTGGAGATAAAACCAGCAGCTGGCAGCACAGAGGACAGAAGAATTGGGAGTGGGAAGATGCCGATGGCATGGACTGAGACGTCAGTGTAGCAGAAGTTTCGATAGAGGAGACAACGCAGAGACAGTGTTCAACGTATGATGACTGCAAGTGTTTGGGGAGATAAACAGGAAGCCCAAGCAAGCTGTACCTAAATGTGACATTAAATAATACCTTCATAGGAAAAAGTTAATTGTCCACCTAGAATATTTAATGAATGAAAGACATTTTTATGTGAAGAAAAACAAAAAATATTTACCACCAAAAGACTCTCACTAAAAGAACTTCTAAGTATAGATTTCAAGAGGTAGTTGAAAATGACCCTGAAGACCAACCTGAGATACAGAAATAACAAGTTAAGGTAACAGTAAATATGAGGGGAAATCTAAAGAGACAGTGGCCATTTATAGAAAATGTCTATTAAAGTAGCCTTAAACAAAAGTAATACACACTGTTTGCATGTTAGGCTGGAGGCAGTTGATGAGAGTTAAAATATGCCATGATCCTTTTATTTTCAAGAAGGAAAGTGGTCTTTGCACTCTGAGTACACGTGTTAAAAATCGCCTTGATAGTATAGACTAGTGCACAAAGCAGGATCTATTGATCAAGGTCAGCACACACCTTTTCACAGCAGGCACCCAACTACTTGTTAAAGTGCGTCTGCCTACTATCCTAGTGCTAGAGTCTACCAGTAAGGTTCATCCAGGGCCCAGTCAGTAGCCTCACTCATTCCTCCCACCATGTTCATTCCGAAATGAGTTACCACTCTTTCCCCAGCCTTCTGCACTTAACGGTATGTGTGTTGTGACATCAGATTTCACTCTTCTGCAGTTGTCTTCGTGAGGAACAGTGCTCCTTGTGAGGATGCGAAGCCATAGCCTCACTGTGTGTGTGTGCGTGTGTGACTGCAGTCAGGGCCACTGAGGCCGCTTCTAAGCTTTTCCAGCCTGTTCTCATGCACCGTGGTCCCTTTCTTCCCTGAATTCCACTCGTTTGCACCCATACTGTTCCAACTGTAAAATGGAAATAATAATAATAGTGTCTTATTCTCAGCACTGTGGGGTGGATTGAACCAAATAAGTTATAACTGACCAAAAACAGGATTAAGTTTTAAACCTCTGTGGGAACTGGAAAAGTAGAGCATGGAATACAGGGCTAATGCTCCCTGACTTAGCATCTGTCACCCTCAGGTGACTTTAGATCACAGTTCAGCTGGGATCCATTTCTAATCGGCTTAGTGTGGTAATGATGAAGACCTGTTAAAAGTTTTCACGAACACGTGCATGAATTTGTTACCAAAGTGGTGCGCTAGACGCACACTGGGTCCTAACCCAGATGGAGACTCTTTGTCTCCATCAAGGAGGTTCTTTATCTGCTAGGATTCACATACCCGTTAGGACGTTGGGATGGCACAGGCTTTATTCAATGGCCAAAGAATGGAAAGAAGCCAGAACTTGGTTAGCAAACCAACTTCTCAACCCCATTCAGGCAGAGACACGATGTATGTTGGAGAGTCGAGCTTAAAGTTAAGACTGGAAAGAGAGGGAGGGGTATTCATGAACAGGGCAGTGGTTTGGATCTGAACCTGATGCCTCGCTCCTCTTCTGTCCTTGTCAGGGCTTTGCAGTGGTTGTTGTTATTAAGTCTTTCAGTCGTGTCCAGCTCTTTGCGACCCCATGGACTGCAGCACGCCAGGCCTCCCTGTCCTTCACCATCTCCTGGAGCTTGCTCAAACTCACGTCCATTGAGTCGGTGATGCCATCCAACCCTCTCATCCTCTGTCGTCCCCTTCTCCTCCTGCCTTCAGTCATTCCCAGCATCAGGGTCTTTTCTAATTGCAGGTGTTGTCATGGCGATTGTCACCTGTCCTGGCGCCAATGGGTGTGTCATTTGGCTAATATGGCTCAAAGTCACTAGAAGTCAAGTCTTCCGCCAACTTGGGTTTACTTGGTTCTAACCAGTCCTTCTTTTTCTCTTTGGCGCCTCCTCCTGAAACCCAGATGAGAGGAGTTGGTCTCCATTTGAGGGAGGGGCAGAGGTATGAGTCTAGGACAACAGCCTTAGTAACAAATTAATAGATTTCTACATGAAAAGCAGAAAAATTGATTTTTAAATCTTTGAGCTTAAAGAATCTCAAAATGCCACTAAATTAGTTTTAGGGCTTTGGGAACAGCCTTTCAAATCCAGGCCCTGCATTCTTCCAATAGAAAACAGAAGGGTTCCTCTGAGTTCTTTTCCAGCATTAAGCCAGTGTTTTATCTTAAGTTAAATGAGTTATCCACATTTTAAAATGAAGTGGCTGAGGTCCCGAGAGGCAGGGGGACTGGTCAGGAGTGACCGAGTGAGGGCTGGTGGGTGACAGGACCGTGGACCAGCTGGTCGGCCTTCCAGTGGACAGCCCAGCACACCAGCCGCCCCTGTCCTCCGTCGCAGCAGCTCCTGCAGCCGGCGGCCGCCTCTGGGTACACTGCTCTCACACGGCCCGGGTCGGAATCTGACGCCTGTTAACAGAGCGCTCAGCCTTTACTTCATGTGTATGTAGAGTGATCTGCGACTTTCTTTATAGTAGCCACTCTTTTTCCTTTATAAAGAAGATTATGGTATACATTTTTTGATCATTTATTTTTGAGTGCACATTTTTAAACCTTACATGGTGGAGACATATGGGATGATTTTTTTTTTTTTTTTAATTTCCCCTGGAAACCTGCAGAGCGGATGTTTTGAGTCCTTTTTTTTTTTTTTTTTAATTTGCCAGGTGGATATCTCAGTATGGTATTGGCAGGACCACCTGTATTCTGTAGGTGGCTGTTCACCTAGTTTCCAAGCTTAAGGTTTCTTCAGTCAAAGGACATTTAAAAGATGTGGTTGAAAATAATGCGCTTTCTAATTTATTCAGGCATCCAGGTTAAAGGCAGTCAAATATTTGATAACAGAAAGAATAAATGCCCTTCCTACATGTTGAGTAGACATGTTTAGAGAAATGGTGTTTAGGTAATAACCTTTTCTGGTTACAAGATTTTACTTTTATTAAGATTAAGAATAAATAGTAAACTGTTTTGCTAATCTGTGCTTTTAATTTAAGATAATCTGTAAAGTTTTACGTAAGTCAATACAGAAATTCTACTTTATACTCCAGGAAAATACAAAGATGAGGATTGTAAGGACCTCGGGAAGAAAATTCGCTTGGAGAATTTTTTGTAAAGGTGCCTTGTGTCTGCCTTGCATTATACAAGGTTCTGTGAATTCTGAAGATGAAAGATGCTTGTTCTCAGGTTATTCACAGCCTACTTAAAGAGACATTTAGACAAAAAAAAAAAACATGTGACAGTGTGGCAGCATCTGCTGCGGAGGTCTTACAGGTTACCACAGAAGTAATAATTAAAGTTACAGTCCCGCTGGTGGATGCGGGGGAGAAAGGCCAAGAGGAGTCCTTTTGTATTCTGAGACTTTTTTCTTATGTCTCTCGGAAACTCTGATGAAGCCATGAAGGCGCTGTTCATGAGCCCTTAGATTAACATGTACTTCCAACATGCCACTTGCTTTTCCAATAGTTAAGTTATGTCTACTGGAGCACGAACCACACAGCCTTACCACCTGGGTTCAGATTCCTATTTCTCTTCCTACTCATGTGACCATGAGCAGGTTACGTCTCTGTGCTTCAGTGTTACAGAAAGACAAGAGTAATAGTACCTACTTCTCAGGGCTATTGTGAGGATTAAATGAGACAATACTTCCTGTTACATAGTAAGGCTCAAGAAAATTTTAGTTATTATTGGTTTCGTGTGGGGACGCTAAGTCACTTCAGTCGTGTTTGGCTCTTTGGGACCCTATGGACTGTAGCCCACCAGGCTCCTCTGTCCATGGAATTTTCCAGGCAAGGAGTGGGTTGCCATGCCCTCCTCCAGGGGATCTTCCCAACCCAGGGAACGAACCTGAGTCTCCTGCGGCTCCTGCATTGCAGGCAAATTCTTCACCACTGAGCCATGTTAGTCTCGGTAGCAAATAAACCAGGAGCATTGGAGAACAGTTACCACATTGACCTTTCAGGTTCTCGTTCTAAAATGCAAATTTCTGTCAAATTAAATTTTTCCATTTGTTTTCCTTTTCTAGCTCCGAGAGGCAAGCGAGGATGGAAGACCTTTTATGCTGTACTAAAGGGAACAGTGCTTTACTTGCAAAAGGTAAAAGTAGATATGTAAGAAAGGAAGCCCACAAAACTTTATGGAGTGATAATTAGACAAGTTACCTAGAAAATATTCACTTTGTACAAAGAGGCCACATCAAATAGAAAGATTGTTTAATTGATCTCTAAACTCTTTTTTAGATTTTTTTTTTGTTTCTGGTGAAAAAAGTTGTTTTGTAAATTATTTATATATGTGTATATATTACATTTTACAAATATAAAAGATTATATACATGTATATATGAGTGTGTGTGATCAGAGGGAATGGATGAGCTGTGTTCTAATTACATTCAATTAGAACTGTTGAATATAGGTTGATATGTTAGACTTCATATTGTCTGTTCAAGTACAGATTGTGGTAACACTTGTTTCAGTGGATATTTATAATGTGAAGTTACACCCCTCGTGTATTTAGTTATTTATCTTTGTTTAGATCCTACCTAAATCTAGAAACACATTTTCATTCAAGCCCTGATATTTAACAATGCAAGTGTATTCCAGTTACCTGGGTAAGTGTCTGACCAGACCATTTCCTGGCAGGATTCTTTCTTCTAGTCCCCAAATCCGGAAGTTAGTTTGGTCTCCAGTTGGCATGTTCTCTCTGCAGGGTAGCTCCTGCAGCCCCTCCTCGCTAGTTCTGTGTGTGGAGGTGGGGGAGTCGAGTCTTGATCTGGAGAAGGTGCACCCCTCCCAGGGCCCAATGGGACTCTAACTCCACAGTGAAGGGAGGCTCGGAGCTGTAACAACACTGCCCTTGGTGGTGACTGTTAGGAAATATTTTTTTCTTTTTAATGTGATTTAAAAAAAATAACATGAGATCTCCCTCAATAAAATTTTAAGTTAATAGTGCAGTGTTATTAACTTTATAAGCACCATGTTGTGCAGTAAATCTCTAGACATTTTCCATCTTGCGTGACAAACAATACCAATGAGCGGCCTCTGGCAGCCTCCTTTCTACTCTCCATTTCTGTAAATTTGACTCTCTCAGATGCTTTAAATAAGTAGCACCAAGTTGTGTTCATCCATGACTGGCTAATTTCCCTTAAAGTTATGTCCTAAATGTTCATCCAGCATGTGACAGGATTTTCCTCTTTTTTATGACTGAACAGTGTTCCATGGTTTACTTCATCTTCTTTTTCTGTAACTTCGTCCATGGACATTTGTGTTCTTTCCACCTCTTGGTTATTGTGAACAATGCTTCAGAGAAAATGGTGTACAGATATTTCTTTGAGATCCTGATTTCAGTTCCCAGAAGTGGAATTTCTGGATCATATGGTAGTCCTACTTTAAATTTTTCTAGGAACCTCTGTACTGTTTTCCACAGCAGTTGAATCATTTTAAATTTACACCAACGATGGCCAGGAGTTGCAGTTTTTCCACGTGCATTTCAACGTGTGTTATTTTTAGAAGATTTTGTTTAACAGTGGCTATACTGACAAGTGTGCAATGATACTTCATTGTGATTTACACTGTGATTTATACTAATCCTAATGATTAGTGGGGTTGAGCATTTTTTTTCATATCCCTGTTGACCATATATGTGTTGTCTGTTCAGATCCTTTGACCATTTTTTAATCAGGTTATTTCGTTTTTTGTTTTTGAGTTGTAGGAATTCCTTACATATTTTGAACATTGATTCCTTATCATATATATAATTTTCAGGCGATTTCTCCCATTCCATAGGTGGCCTTTTCACTCTCTCGATTGTCTCCCTAATTAGGGTTAGGGTTGAGGTTAGGGTTAGGGTTAAGGTTAGTTGGGTTAGGGTTAGGGTTAGGGTTTATGGTTAGGGTTAGTTGTGCAGAAGGGTTTTAGGTTTAGGGTTAGGGTTAGTTGTTTAGAAGGGTCATGGTTAGGGTTATGGTTTGTTGGGTTAGGGTTAGGGTTAGTGTTAGTTGGGTTAGGGTTAGTTGTGTATAAGGGTTTTAGGTTAGTTGGTTTATGGTTAGTGTTAGGGTTAGGGTTAGTTTTGCAAAAGGTTTTTAGCGTTAGGGTTAGAGTTAGGGTTAGTTGTGTAGAAGGGTTTTAGGATTAGAGTTAGGGTAGGGTTAGGTTTAGTGTTAGTTGTGCAGAAGGGTTAGGGTTAGGGTTAGTGTTAGTTGGGTTAGGGTTAGTTGTGTATAAGGGTTTTAGGTTAGTTGGTTTATGGTTAGTGTTAGGGTTAGGGTTAGTTTTGCAGAAGGTTTTTAGCGTTAGGGTTAGGGTTAGGGTTAGTTGTGTTGAAGGGTTTTAGGATTAGGGTTAGGGTAGGGTTAGGGTTAGGGTTAGTTGTGCAGAAGGGTTAGGGTTAGGGTTAGTGTTAGTGTTTGTTGTGCAGAAGGGATTTAGTTTAGTTAGGTTAGGATTAGGGTTAGGGTTTGGCTTGGTTGTGCAGAAGGGTTTTAGGGTTAGGGTTAGTTGTGTAGAAGGCTTTTAGGGTTAGGGTTAGGGTTAGGGTTAGGGGTTAGGGGTTAGGGTTAGGGTTAGGGTTAGGTTTAGGGCTAGTGTTAGTTGGGTTAGAGTTAGGGTTAGTTGTGCATAAGAGTTTTGGGTTTAGTTCCTTTTCTCTAGTTTGCTTTTGTTGCCTTTTGCTTTGGTGTCATATACCAGAAATCATTGCCAGTATCAGCGGCAGGAAGCTTTTCCTCTGTGAGGCCCTCCAGGAGTTTCCTAAGGTATTGAGCATTTAAGTTCACGATGAGTTCCCTGTTGTGTGTGGTGTATGTTGAGGATGGACTTGCATTCTTTCTCACGTGGATACCCAGTTTTCCTGTGTCGTTTGTTGAATAGACTCTTTTCTCCTTGGTGTGCTTTTGGGACCCTTGGGAGATCAGTTTTTGGCATTGTTTCTGGCTCTCTATTCTGTTACAGTGGTCTACATGTATATCTTTATACCACTACCGTAATCTTTTTTGTTATCATAGCTTTGTAATATGTTTTGAAGTCAGGGAGTATGAGGATTCTAAATTTGTTATTCTTTCTCAAGACAGCGTATTTAGGATCCTTTATAACTCCATATCAATGTTAATGTAAATTTTGCAGTTTCTTCAAAACTTCCTTTGGAATTTTGATAAGGATTGCATTGAATCTGTAGATGACTTTGAATCGTATAGGCATTTTGACAATATTCAGCTTCTAATCTATGAACATGGGATGTCTTTCTCTTTATTTTTGTCTTTTGTCAACAATGTTTTGTATCTTTAATTGTATAAGTTTTTCACTTCCTTCATTAAGTTTATTCCTAAAGTATTTTATTGTTTTTGATGCTGTTATAAATGGGATTGTTTTCTTAACTTCCTTCTCACATTGTTCATTGTTAGTTTACAGAAGTACAATTGATTTTTGTATCCTACAACTTCATTGAATTTATTTCTTATTTCTAACAGTTCTTTTGTGGAATCTTTAGAGGTTTCTGTATTTAAAGTCATGGAATCTGTATACAAAGATAATTTTACTTTTTCCTTTCCAATCTGGATGCCTTTAGGTTTTTTTTCTTCTCTGATGGCTCTGGCTGTATTAAATAGAAGTGCCAAGAGTGGGCATTTTTGTCTTTTTCTTTTATTAGAAGTAAAAGCCTTCAGTTTTTTGCCATTTCACATATGATGTTAGCTGTGGGCTTTTTATATATGGTCTTTATCATATTGAAGTAATATCTTTTTATTCCTAGTTTGTTGAATGTTTTTTATCACATGAAAGGTTGTTGAATTTTTACTAAATGCTTTTTCTATATCTATGGAGATGATCATGTGATTTGAACATTTATTATGTCAATGTGATTTACCATAGATTTTCATAAGCTGAAGCATCCTTGCATTCCAGGGGTAAATCCCACTTGGTCATGATGTATGCCTCTTTCATAATATGATGTTGGATTTGGTTTGCTGGTATTTTGTTGAGAATTGTTGCATCTATATTCACTAGGGATATTGATTTCTAGTTTTCTTTTCTTATTGTATCTTTTTCTGTTTTTTATATCAGGCTAATACTGGCCTCATGAAATGATTTTAGAAGTTTTTCTCTGCTTAAATATTTTTTAAGAATTTGAGGAAGATTGGTTTTAATTTAAATTGTCCCATTTTAGAAGTTGGATAGAATTGATTGTGAAGCTGTGAATGGTCCTAGACTTTTCTTTGTTGGCAGGTTTTTGATTACTGATTAAATCTACATGCTAGTTATAGGTCCACTCTGATTTTTATTTATTCATGATTCAGTTTTGGCAAATCATGTGTTTCCTAGGGATTTATCCATTTCTTCTGGATTATCCGGTTTGTTGGTATGTAATTGTTCATAGCTGTTTCTTACGTTTTTGTTTCTCTGATACTAGTTGTAATGTCTCATTTTTCATTTCTTATTTTATTCGCGTCTTCTCTCTTTTTCTTAGTAGTCTAGCTAAAGGATTGTCATTTTTATTGTTATTTTAAAAAAACTTTATTTCATTGATTTTTCCCCTTTTGTTTTATAGTCTCTATTTATTTTTTCTGTAATAATCTCTTTTTTGAGGGAAATGAATTATATTTAGCTGTTGGTATTTTGAAGATTTACTCTTCTTTTGCAAAAATGTTTTTAAGACAACTTCATTAAGATGGACACGCTTGAGGTATGATACTAAACTTAGTGATTTCACATCTAAATCAGTAAAAATTACCACTATTTAATTTTTTTTATTTTAGCACATAAAGATAGGTTTTTGTTTTTAAGACAAGTTATCTCAAATGCATGTTTTAAAAATATAGTTCTACTTTATACCAAACTTGAAATATGTAGCAAAAATTAGCCTAATGATCAGTATCCAAGCTTATTATGTCTTCAGAATTTCATTCTGTGGTGCAAGATGTTTATTATTTTTTCAATGTTACATTGAGATGAATCCTTTATGTATATAAAGTCTACTTGCTAACAAGGGCTACAGTGAAGCTATGTAAACTCCCTAATGATTGTATCTGTGTCATAGCATTTGGCACCAACATTTTGTAGACAGGGCTCTGAGCAACTTTGACAAATATTGGTTGCTATCCTGAT